ACCCGCTTGACCAATCCAACAGCGATCCACCGGACGAAGCCGACGCATCCGAACCCCGAACACGCCAGACCCAGCAGTGTACCAGTGACAACGCACCAGAATCTCGAACACGCCACACCCAGCAACGTACCAGAATCTCGAACACGCCAGACCCAGCAATGTACCAGTGACAACGCATCTGAGCCTCGTCCACACCAGACCCAGCAATGTACCAGTGACAAGGTACCAGAATCTTGACCACGCCAGACCCAGCAATGTACCAGTGACAAAGTACCAGAATCTCGCCAGACCCAGCGACGCCACCTGAACCAAACCTACGATGCGATACGACCACACCGACCACACGGTGTTCTTCGAGGCGGACGGACTGGCTCTGGGTGTGTCCAGCGGTATCGCAGTCGTCTCCGTCGAATCTTCGTTGCTCTGGGGGTTCTTCGAGGCGGACGGACTGTCCCTGGGTGTGTCCAGCTGTGTCGCAGTCGTCTCCGTCGAATCTTCGTTGCTCTGGGTGTTCTTCGAGGCGGAAGGATTGGCCCTGGGTGTGTCCAGCGGTGTCGCTGTCGTCTCCGTCGTAGCTTTGTTGATGAGTCCGGAGCAACAAAGATTCGACGGAGACGACTGCGACACCGCTGGACGCACCCAGGGCCAGTCCGTCTGCCTCGAAAACCACCCAGAGTATCCCTACCAAGACAACGGAGCTAAGCCTCGACCACGCCAGACCCAGTAGCAATACAAGGACAACGCATCTAAGCCCCGACCGAGATGGACCCGGCGGCGCTAAAAATATAACACGATAGACGCGAGCCGAATCAGACATGCCCAGCCGTGCGGCTTAGTCAAAGCGAACGACCCCACGGGAAACCAGCATCGCTCTATACCACGACCCGCTACGCCTGGAAGACCACGGCCCCGAAGGACATGGGCGGGTCAAGGTAGACCAAAATCCCACACAGCGCACACATCGTACTGATGGGAAAGAAGACAGGCGAGATGCCGATGTGCGTAGACTACCGACAACTCAACGCGCAATCACTGCCTACTGCCCGACGCCTACCCACTGCTCAGGATCAACCACATCATCGAGAGGCTCCGTAACGCACGTTACATCTCGACTTTGGACCTCAAGAACGGGTATTGGCAGATCGCTATGGCCGAGGGGAGCCGAGAATGTACCGCCTTCACCGTTCCGGGCAGAGGACTCTTCCACTCAGGCTGCACTCAACATCGGCTACGTTCCAGCGAGCCTTGGACAGCGTCATCGGACCACAGATGGAACCCAAGGCCTTCGCTTACCTTGATGACATCATTGTCATAGGAGCGGCGTTGGAGGAACACGTCGACCATCTGCGAGAGAATCTAAGATTGAACCAAAAGAAATGCAGCTTCTTCCAGAAAAGCATCGTATACCTGGGACATGTCATTAGTGAGCAGGGTATACCAACCGACCCAGATAAGATCGTCGCCGTCCGGCAGTTGGCCCCACCAAGTTCAATAAAGGAACTTCGACGCTGCCTAGGGGTGGCATCGTGGTACCGGAGGTTTGTCCCAAACTTCGCGACGATTGTACAACCAATTGTACAACCTCCAGGAGAAGGAGAAATGGTGGATCTGGAGTGACGAACAGCAGGCCGCTTTCGAGGAACTGAAGGAGAAGTTAACCCAAGCCCCCGTCTTAGCCTGTCCGGATTTCACGGAGAGGTTCGCCCTACAAACTGACGCAAGCGACTACGGCCTAGGGGCAGTCCTGACGCAACAGATCAGCGGAGAGGAGAGGGTCATAGCCTACGCCAGTCGAAGGCTCTTGAAAGCAGAAGAAAACTACTTGGCCACGGGCCATCAGGAAATTACGATGCTACCTGGAGGGCTACCACTTCGACGTCATCACCGACCATCTCGCCTTGAAGTGCTTAAACTCGATCAATAATCCGACTGGTCGCATCGCTCGTTGGGCTCTGGAACTCCAACAGTATCGCTTTGACATGCTTTACCGACGCGGAAGCCAAAACATCGTAGCAGACGCTCTTTCCCGGCAACCTATCGACAACATACAGCGAACCTTAGAAGAACCGCCCTCCTGCCCCTGGATACAAAAGTTGTTTAAACGTATCCAGTGACGACCTGAGGAATGCAGAGAATTCATAATCGAGAACGAACAGATCTACCGGCAGCCTGGACACCGACCAATCGAGGAAGAATCTCACCAGTGGAAGTTATGCGGCGCAAGTGATCATCGTAGGCGAGTGTTGGAAGAATGCCACGATCACCCGACCGCCGGACACCTAGGAATACGGAAGACCGCCACTCGGGTAACCCAACGATACTACTGGCTAGGACTCTACAGAGACGCGGCCCGATACGTGAAACATTGCGAAAGCTGCCAAAAATTTAAGGTGAGCCAGGCTAAGGGCCCGTTGACGGGGACCAACGGACCTGGGACGACCTCCTCACCGAGTTGAGCTTGGCCATAAACAGCAGCACGTCGGACACCACGGCCATCAGCCCGGCCTTCTTGGTACGCGGACGAGAACCAAGGCTACCAGGAGCCTTGTACGACGAGGTGACTCCAGGATTAGGAAGTGAACCGGACCCTGCCCACGAGAAGGCGACACGACTACAGGAAATATTCAAGGTCGTACAGGAGATCACCCAACGTGCATCCGACATACGACCTTCGACGGCGCGAGTGGCGGAAACTGGAAACCCTAGACCTCCTCCTGCAACATCACCTCTCCAAAGCCGCCGACGGTTTCGCGGTTTCTCCGCAAAGTAAAGCCCCCTTTCCGCGTCTTAGTAATTCTTAGGCCGACAGGGTCCCGTAAGTACCGTCCGGCGATAGCCTAGGTACTCTCGGCGATACTTGTCGGTATTTCCGCCTAGCAAAGCCCCCTTCCGCTTCGTAGTAACTCTTAGGCCGGCGGGGTCCCGTAAGTACTGTCCGGCGATAGCCTAGGTACTCTCGGCGATACTTGTCGGTATTTCCGCCTAGCAAAGCCCCCTTCCGCTTCGTAGTAACTCTTAGGCCGGCGGGGTCCCGTAAGTACTGTCCGGCGATAGCCTAGGTACTCTCGGCGATACCTGTCGGTATTATCACATAGCAAAGACCTTCGTATTAATTCTGAGTTCGATGGGGTCATGAAGGCGCTATCCGCCGATAGCCTGAGCGTTCTCGGCGAAACCGTCTGCCACATCCCACACTACGATCGCTCCCGTCCGCGGGACTGCCGGTTGACGGTTAGTTTATTTGTATGCAAGCACCCATTTCTTTGTTTGATGTTCCGGCCCTATCAGCTATGCAACCGGGGCTTCTGATTGGCAGGGAGGCTCATCTTGTGGAAATTAATGCACTATGTGATACTGAGACCAGATTGATTCAGAGAGTGCGAGAAATCAAGCATTCGAAAACATAAAGGATATGGCCGTTTATGAAAAATATAGATTTAAGTAAATTGAGTAAAAAAGAGTAAATCAACTATTTTTAGACACAAGTGGGTAGCAATGCTGTGCTCAAAAGTGAAGAATGGCATTAAACAAAGTTAGATGCAAAATTTAGAAACCCTTTTATTATATAATAGATTCTAATTACGTGCTGAAATATTTTAATAATAAACGAGCGTACAAGTTTGCCATTACGATGTAAAAGTATTACGACAGTATTATGAATTAATTCGATATCAGTGGAGAAGAGTTACATTTGCTAAAGAGTCCAACTCAAAAGGGCGACAATGTTTCCATTTTGAAGTCACGAGTAATCCGTCAAGGTGTGACGAAGAGTCTAGATGATGAGTTCAGAAAAGACTGAGTGTGTTCCGTCTTGGTGATTGAGCACCAACCAGTCGAAACTTTGAAATTAAAGAACACTTTCCCCAACACTAAGATACCCGTTACTCAGAAAAGAGACAACGATAGAGAGTGGTACTGCGTTCTCTTTGAATATACGCCCGACATAAAAATTCACCACAGCACCCAAGTGCTTCGTCCTGGTAGACAACATTTTAATACTCAAAAGGAAAAATCCACAAAAAAAAAACAGATACAAATTAAAACCTATTTTACGTAGCACTGTAATATTTGATTTTCGGTATAAAAATTCTACTAGACAACACTACTGAGAAATAAATCGCCAGTTTTCCAAAATGTTCGATTTTCTTTTTTAGGTTAAGTACTTATCAGACCACCCTAGTAAATACACCGTACACAAGAAACACAAAAATGGTGTTATTGATCAACAAGCCTAGAAAAATTTGATTCGGTACTTCCCTTGTTGTTTCCTACTTGTATGGCCTTAAATTGTGCTCCTCTTTTCAGCACATACTACATACATACATACATATGTAGTATCAAAGAAGAAAACGCGACACATTGGTATCACATACAGATCTATGAGTACATCTGTTTCCTGAACCAAAACACAGAGGTATAAATAATAAAAGGCACCTTTTAGGCTTTTTTTTCCTGGCAAAATTTTAAAGTGTCATATCACAGGAGTCTAGATAGATATTGATGCTGATCAAGAATGTATATAATTTATGGAGTCGGAAACGTTTCCTTCTGGGTGTTACACGCATCCACATTCACCACAAATCTAATACACCTCCCATACTTCTTTTGAGTATAGGTTATACAAAATAGCGCATAGTAGTCTTTTTTCATGTACGTGCAGATTATTCGTCAGTCAGCATCGGGAGTCTTTTTCCGGTTCCCGGATATAGAATTATAAGTAAATTTGGCTGCCGCAGACATATTTTTGCTTCAGTTTTATATAGTGTTCTCTTGAATTCTGATAAGATAAGCTTCTTAAACAGATAATACAGTTACTAAAAAATAAAAATAAATATATCAGCACTCAAAAGTCAGCGAACAATGAAAATGCAATTTTGGACAATATTTTTTAATTTGTCCTTTTCGGGTATAACATACAAATAAAAATTTAGAACATTTTTTTGCTTTTAATCAAAATCTAGAGTATTCTTACAACCCTGTTTAAAAAAATGAAATATTCGTCTGTTAATTCAGTTATTCTTTTTAATGTATCAAATTTTTAATATAAATATACAAATATAGGGCAAATCCACTTTCTACGAGCACTCCTCTTGACTTTTTCGGACACAGCGAGCTACTTTCCGTTTAAAGTCAGGATAAGATTCTCGCCATTCTTTGGCGGCATCTACATTTGCTGGAGACTCATCGTTGGGATCAGCCAACATTGATATCACTGATATCAAGATAGTTTCCACTGTATGCACGGGTAACCAGCGCTCAGATGCTTTTTCGTATCCCCACTTATCATCTCCCGGCTCGTGTAAAATTGAAATGCAGACGTCTCCGTTTTTTTCAATATTAGGGTGCCAAATTTCTGTGACGAACTTCATTCGAGGTGGACGCAACGGATATTCTTTGGGGAAATAAAGATGTGCTTTAAAAAAGCCTCCTTCACTGCAGGGAAAGAAATAACATTTAATAAATCCAAGAAGTATAAACATTTATAATATAGCCGATTAATCCGACTGTAAAACAAGTTACTTATCTTAAGTATTATCTTTCTAGACTGAACCTATAGATGCAGTACAGTAAAACGATTATTTTACAAAAATCAAAATCGATTGAATGCTGATTATAAACATGGAATAAGTTTCCGATTAGTCCCCCAAGTGGAACTGATACCAATTTTTTGGTAATATTTTTTGAAGACATTTGACAGATTGATCTTATTTGGACTCTTATTTTCTTACAGACATTTGTATCGTTGAAGCTAAAAAGTATCTTGTCTTGCCAGGAAGGGCAGCAATTGGTGATTGGTATGCTAAATTTAAACCCATATGCGCAGAGGAGCTCTGCTGACCTCTTCGGTCGTCCATAGCAGACAACTACGCCAGAAAAAGTGTTGGCGTGTTTAGTATTTCGTCAGGACAACGCGCCATGTCAGAAATGGATGAACTATACGAATTTCATTTCGAATTGGTTTTATCTACAAAACTCACCAGATTAAGATTCCAGCAACTAATAGAAGTTCCAAAACCTCAAACAAATTCCCCAAGCAAAAAATAGAATACGTTGTTTGATTCGTTTTTTTTTTGGGAGTACTACAAAACCATTTACCGGAGAGGCGTGGAAATGCTAAGAATACGTTTGACTACACGTGGATTCTCTAGATCTGAATCTACATATGTATCTTTAAGAATCCAATAAGAATTCAAATCTGAACAAACATTTTTTCTGTGTTAAATCGGCAACATAAAGTTTCAATTTTGAAAAACAAAATTTATTTTTTTTATAAACTAAGGGGATTTATTGTTTTATGTTTATTATGCGATCGGAAATGCGGTGCATACATCTGATCAAATCCATAAAACTCATTGCAAGAGCTGTTTAACTTTACATTAAATATCTAAATATATAGACATACTAAAGCGTATCTGGTGGACCAATTATTAGGACTTCCCAGCGGAATATATCATTTTCATCAATTAATCCAGCTGAGAAACCTTCTACTGGATTCTTGTTTAGTTCTGAAACGAAACAAATATAAATAATTACATATTTTTTAAATCCGTGTGCCATTGAGTGTTTATGATTGAGTTTAAATTCCAGGTGACATTAATGCTGTTAAATTAAAGGGACAAAATATGCCTCTCAAATTATTTAAATTTGGTAACAACCTTCAGTGTATTAAGGTTATAATTATAGTGTAGGTTCAATAGAGAAACAGTTAAAACTGAACCCCGTAACAGGATTAAATTTGAATGTCTTCCTAAAAGATTTCAGACTAGCAAACCAGATATTGGAAAACTTCTCGGATATATTTTGTCATTTAAAATGTTAAAAATGAGAACATTTTCCAGTCATAGACAATCGCCAAGAATATATATTTGCCAGTTCGAAGATCTTCAATTTACAATTTTTGTATTACAAATTAAAAGCAGTCACACAAAATGACTCTCTTTTCTCAGTCTTTTTTAAAGAGTCTTTTTTAAAGTCTTTTTTAAAGACCACAACCCTTTGCTACAATTCTCATTGTTGCCCGCTAACTCCGAAAAATTAAATTTCCCGAGATCCTCTATCACTTACGAATTTTACGAGCAGTGATAAAGATTTTTTGAGATTTTGGACGATTTGGGAAAGACAGTTGGGAAAGAAGAAAATACCTAGAAACGTCTATGGGTTTTATTGTTTTTTTTGTGGCATTTTTTGTATCAACATAAATTATGCGAATATTTTAATGATAACACTGCCAACAAATTTATCAAAAATATTAAAAAAACAAAACCAAAGGAGACAGCAACATACATACATACCTACATCTTATGGTGCCCACGACCTCCATGGTTTTCCTACATTTAAATGCGGTAAAAAAAAGTCAAAATTCGCATCTGAAATACAGCTTTTGGGGTCTAAGACAGAACTCCAAATATTGACCTTTCGAGAGATTTCAAGCTTCATAGCCAAGGTACAAGTTTGCATAGGAAAAGAAAGCAATGACATTGCTCGTGATTATAGAGATGGAGATACCGTAAAATTATAATATTCTTTCAAAACCTGTAAACTGTGAGTACTGTTCTAGGACTAAATCGTGTATTTTCCGCAATTTTGATATTCATACGGGCAGGCGACCATTTGGTTTGATAATTATAATGAAAATAAATTTACGAGTTTTCACTTTCTCTCTTTATGGAGACTCAAGAGGGCGTGGCTAGAATATAAAAACAAAATTTATCCTAACCTGATGACAAAGAACTATGAAGATGAAATTTTGTTGTTTCAACTTCGAAAGTCTCCCCGATCCATGTGTTCATACACACGGTGAAGGCTACAAAATATGTACATACATACATATAAATATATGCATGTATGTGCATATATATGTAAGTCGACTCGGTTGTCTATGCTGAACAATACCTGGTTGCTACTTACATTATCACGTGTACAATATAACCATATACTCTACGACAAGCAAATATAAACATAAAAAAGTCGGTCTCATACAAATCTTTTTTCGCACAAATGGAAAAGTAAATGCACAGATGGATGTATTTATGGATTTGCATACTTATGTATCCGGCTGGATACAGCTTTGTACTTTTCTCATTCGAAATAAAAACCACTATTAACTAAGAAAACTTTACATATGTTTATATGTCCAATTCAAATACTAATTTAGATCTTTCTGAATTAAAATTACCCCGGCAGTTTTCTTTCTTGGAACATGTGACATCGTAATATGGAATCAGTTTCCTAAACATGTACATAAGTATTTACATACATACAAAGACTATTCCTTAAAGACAAACCAAGACGGCAATTTTTATGTACATATATGTATATACTTAGAAAATATATATTTTCATATAAATATGCATTCATATTGATATGTATATACATATATGCATATATATACTAAATATTTTTATTCAACTTACCAGCCAATTGTTTCTTTAAGAGTAAAGATGACTGAAGTTCAGACATATTAAGTTTGTATCTATTATATTTCTCTAAAATAACGCACGCCTATTTTATACAAATTAAAATTTTTTCTTAAACGCAGTGTCACCAAAAAAAACAAATATGTGAAGACCGATGAGAAAGAATTTTCGTTCTTTATGGACTGAAAACAGATAAATGAACTGAAACTGGCCAGATTGGAATATATTGGGAACAATAAATGAACTGGTTCATGGAACAGAGAAACAGAAACGAAACACAGACAAACCACAAGAGACTTTAAAAAAAACTAGTGAGACCAGATATACAAAACCTTACCGCATAAGCAGGATGTGTGAGCGAGAGAAATATATGATCCAGTTTGGTTTTGTGGTTAAACAGGTAGCAGCATTGCAGAGCGGCAGGGAAAGTACAGAATCATACTTTGGAAATATAATTTGGATATATAATAATAATACAGCATTATAGACAGGCAGGTATTTCAAAAAATTTTTTGTTTTAAGACGTCAAAACTGGCTCTCCCGTTTAAAACGCAAGATTTTTTCTGTTTTCAATACGGAAACATTTTCCTCGCCGAAATGAAAAATAAATGGTTTTAATACAACAAAACAAGTTTTAATTGCAAAAGAAAAAAAAGGTTGACTTATTAATGCATTTAACATAAATTTGACAGCAGGGCAATTTAGATTTTTCTCCTTTTAAAAACTATTTTTTTAACCTAATCTCAAAATTTTGATTGAAAATATTTGGTCAGATCAACAAGCTGCCCGGGAAGTTGACATAAAAGCGTATTAAATCCCATATAATCAGCCAGGCTCCGTTTTTCACATTCACAAAAGTTTTCCGATTTACTTTTGAATACACATAAATTGCGGCTCCCGTTTTCACATTCCACACGATTTATTCGTTTTCAATATGAAAACATATTCGTTAAATGAAAAGTAAACGGCTTTTTATAAAACGAAACGGCCCTTAATTGCAAAAGAAAAAAATAGATGACTGATTTATGCATTAACAAAAACATGACACCTATATCAGGGTAATTTAACTTTTGCTTTCTTTATAAATAATTTTATTTTAACTCAACCTCAAATTTGGCTCGGAAAAAATTGTCCAGGGCAACAACAATTTTCCTTTTGGTGCAAACAGCAAAACTATGTGAAAACTGGAAAACCTTAAAACGAAACGTTTTGACTAAAAACGTAGTCCGCAAAAGTAAATGAAAAACGGAGCCTGCCTGAATATCATAAATCGATCTTTTTTTTTAAGTTTACGGCAGTTAAATCGACGTTGAAGCTGAAACTCTTCAAACAGTAAAAAATGCGCTTTTAAACTTATATAAAGGAATATTTAAAAAACATACACAAGAAAAATATCGGGAAAAGACCAAATATATTTTTGTAAAGTCAAGCCAAAATTGAAAAACACCCTAACAATTAGATGGTTTGGAAAAAAGGTTTTTCTTTGGAGCTGCCTACGCAACGGACCAGTTTTTATTGAATATTGCTAACAATGAATACACATTATAAAAAATACCAAAAACAGAATTATACATTACATTTTTACTTCTTTTTCAACCTGAAAGATGCAGTATGTGAATAACTAATATCTGTTTTCGTCTGATTTATTTTAGTTAGTTAATTTATTTATATGTATTAGGCTTAACCGTATTGCGTCTTTGTCAAAATAAGTTTCTTTCGGAAACCACACATGTGGCAGAATGTTTAAAGGAAATCAGACATTCACATTACGAAATAAAAAATGTTGTTCTAATGTCTCAAGTCATATGTCAATAGCGAGCTCGAGTCAATGTAAATAGCCTATACGTAAGTATGTTGATCTCCTGTATGAATTTAGGACGTGCAATGGATGCGCCGTCAAGTTTCCCAAGCGACACCAGGCCGAAACTTGTTACGCGAAAAAAGAAAACTCTATGATTGTGCAAAATGGTAAAAACACTACCCTTGGATATCTTCACGATTTCAGCAATATCATCTAGCTTCAATTTACGGTCGGACAAAATCTATTAATGGACCTGATTGATTTTTTCGGGGACAACTGCTTCCTTTGGCCGACCAGAGCGGTGTGCATCGTCAGTGTCCGTACGACCGCGTTTAAAATCAGCCAGTCGATAAATGTTGATATGCCTATGGCAGAGGTGTCATAATGTTTGTCCGACCACTGTCTTGCTTCAACGGTGTTTTTTCCCATCAAAACGCAGTGTTTAATGAGCACACGAAATTCCTTTTTTCCATTGTTTTGAAAATAACATAAGCAGCGTCACACAATAATGATCCGAATGACCACTACATATGTACTTTTTGTGTTAGAGGCGCTCTTAGTGATGTAAAAAAACATCGATGCATCGAGCATCGTGTTGAGTGATGCATCGATGTTTTGCAAAAAATCGGTAGTTTAATTTCATATCATTGCGTGTTTGTCTTCTGTAAGCAGAAACACAGCAATGCCAAAGTAAGTAAACATATTTGACTTAAAATGAATCAAATTTACTATAGATGGTATACATTTGTTTAAATATGAAACAGCGAACGCCGTTAACATCATTCGACGGCAACCCGTTGTGTGTTTAGGAAGGTATGAAGAGCACTGTTCAATCACGGACATATACCTTATTAATATTACAGAATATACAGTACAATCTCATACCTCCAGTGAGACATGCAAGCTCACCTAGACAGCAATTACAAATCATAGGATAGTAGAAAGCTCACTATTAATCTATGTCCGCTGAATTAAATTAAGATTCAATATTGGCGACGCACTCTCCGATCAGTAAAAACTGTATCTATCTGAGTACTAGGCTTTAAGTTTATGTCTGGTGTCTGGTCAGTAAAATCTGTATCTATCTGAGTACTAGCTCTAAAGTTGAAGTCTGGCGGAATACGACCATTACTGGAATACCCGAAATACTTTCATCTATTTAAAGCGCAACTCTAACCTCAGACTACCCTTGCCCAATAGCATAGCTATCGACCTATTCACCATCCAATCGATAGTATTACAACGAAAAATAGTGTTTGCACAAAATTCGTGAGTCAGAATTCATAAATTGTATGCACTTAAAAAAGGCGTATAAATCTGCTGTACGACATTTTGTATGAAACGATGTCATATCACCAGGGTGGAATGCCAGATCAGCAATTCCTTTGGGATGTTTTTCAGAGGCAAGTCTGGGAAACTAATCAAATAAGCCAAAATTAAATTGTTTTCATTTAAGAGTGGACAAGGATAGAAGCGGTCACATCTCAGCCGATGAGCTACAAGTTGCCCTTTCTAATGGTACATGGTCTGCATTTAACCCTGAAACGGTTCGTTTAATGATTGGAATGTTCGATCGCGAAAACAGAGGAACAGTATCTTTTCAAGATTTTGGAGCCCTGTGGAAATATGTGACGGATTGGCAAAATTGCTTTCGTTCATTTGATCGGGATAATTCTGGCAATATTGACAAAAATGAACTAAAGACAGCACTAACTTCATTTGGGTACCGTTTATCTGACCACCTCGTCGACGTTTTACTTAGAAAATTTGATCGTTTTGGTCGAGGCACTATTCTTTTTGATGATTTCATACAGTGCTGTATTGTTCTTTACGTGAGTATTTTTTTGATACCAAATCTATCTTCTCCGAGTTTTTTTTTTAAAGAATCGATCGTTACATTTGTATATGAATATTAGATTTAGATAATAAAGTACATATAGTAATAGGGTACAAGTGCATTAATATACAAATGAAATAGTTAGTTTATAAAGAAAATATGTACGTACATATCAGCATCAATAGCAGGGTCGATATAGCCATGTCTGACTGTCTATCTTCCTTGTTTGTGTGGCCTAGTTCCTAGATTATCAGTGCTAGGGCAACCAAATTTTAACCAACTAATTTTGACGGTACTAAAGAGCCGAGGTAAGGAACACGTTACTATCGAATCATTATAGACTTTAGATAGAGCAAGGAAGATATGTAACTGATACTGCGATATGAAAACAGCTATAAAATTGTTAAATAGGTTCATTAGATGGAGTGCCTGAATATATTAAATATTGTAAGATGCATAAATCATAGGAATATGTACCAGTAATCCGATCCACATTTTTTTGCAGACATTAACAACTGCATTCCGGCAACATGATACTGATATGGACGGCGTTATAACAATACATTACGAGCAATTTTTGAGTATGGTTTTTTCTTTGAAAATATAATGGTGTATATTAAAAAACTATCAACTTATTTATATATAAATTTTAAAGAACATGAAATGACTTGTGTATATTAAATAGTGGATGCTATTTATGAGAAATAAACAATATTGTCTAATTTATACTCCGAAATAGTTCATTTTAACAAAACGATATTAAGTAATGGAATATATAATTGAAATGTTACTTTGTACGTTGATTTTAATAAAACTTGTTCATATTGTGCGTAAAAGGTGCTTTAGAAAATTACGTCAAATTAGTCACTTGAAAGTTGGTACAAATAGTTTTCTTCCAAAATGTATTTGTATATAAAATAGAAGTGAGCAATACAATTCGAAAGGTCTTATCGAAAATGCGTGAGGTATAAATCATTTTCTTACAAATCTTTTTAAGACATTAAAATGTTGAATAATCCCTCTAATGAAAAAACTAAAAACGTAGTCGTTTCGGTCAGTATAAGCTCTTGACAGAATCTTTTACGAAATGCATGGCAATAAAATCATTTTATGTGTACCCGTCAATTTTTTTGTCTGGGTTTTTACGTCAGACTTTTCTACTTTATCTAGCAGTCCCGAAGACCATGCAGTTCCCTATCGAAGCGTCATGAATCCTTCGTTCCCATCATCTTTCGAGGATTCCTGTGTGCATTACCAAAAATCCAGCTGCTGTAATGGCCTCCCTGTTGGCTGCAATCAATTTCAACATCGCATACGTCCATTACTCCATAGCTTCTAAAACAGCAATAGAGCCTGGTATTGGACAGGGCTGCATTGACAATATCCTCGGGCAGTAGCGCTTCAAATATCCTGTAAAACCACCATGAGACTCGTATGTGAGAAATTGGATGCACTAAACCGAATCCAGTTAGTTCCACTGGGGAAACGAGAATTTGACGAGTGTGCCAAAACCGGAAGCCACCTACGGATGAAGGAGAGCATACTACGAGGGCGAAGGCCCTCTACACTACTACTATGCACTACTATCCCCGATAGTCAGGTGCGACAGGTTAGAGGCTGCCCGCTATATAAAGGAGAATAAATGTTTTCTCTTGGATTTTCATGAAAGGACATTTTTTTTCTTTTTCTACTTTATAATAAACACTGAGATACGTTAAATTAAATAAGGTTCGCAGCTTTTGAGAATTACGATACGGATATAAAACTTTTTTAGAAGCTAACAATAAGTTTTCAAATCTTAATCTTATCACCCATTTTACAGTACTAATATTATTTTACTATTTAAGTTAGATTAGCTAGCGGAACCGGGTTTTTTTTTTTATTGGGCCTTATCTTTATATTGGACTTTGATTTGCAATGACTGCATCTTTTAATGAAATTACTGCACCATCAAGTGGCTCGTGAGACACCAGCAGAAGGCTGTTATGCGCGGATCCCAAGCAAAACGCAGAACTCATCCCGCCCAACCGATCGAGGGCGCTGCCGCATAACGCGCGGCGCGTAGCCGAACCGCACGCGAACATGCAGGAAAATTAGAACTTAGCTTACTAAGAGAACTAAACATGCTTTTAAAACACAAATATAATTTATAATTACGAGAAAGGTTTGGGGATATTAGTAATTTAATGAAAGAGGAAGGGAATTAGTGGTGGATATAATCTGGTAGAGGGAATTCATAGTGAATTCATATTCATAGTGAATCTAATAGGAATCGTGAAGATTATGCGGTTAAACAGAACAGGGCTTTCTACGTCACCCTACCATCAAGCTATGCATACAAATCAGACTAATCATTTTTCTACGGTTAACTAAGGATGGGAGATTTACTAATAGCAATCTATTAGAGTAAGATGGCATTCTCACAAATGCATCCCAGTTAAGGCCCCGCAGAGCAAAGAGTAAAAAGTTGTTCTGTACTGATTCTATACGGTCCTGGTGTACTTTGTACTGAGAGCACCATACACAGGAGCCGTATTCTAAGATCGGACGAACAAGGTATAGAGAGTCTTTGTTATAGGGGTCGTCAAATTCCTTTAACCACCTCTTTATAAAGCCAAGCACGCTCATGGCCTTATTTACCATGGTAGAAATGTTTTCAGAAAACTTTAGCTTGGCATATAATATAACACCAATATCATTCACAAAGGTAATTCTATCAAGAGAACTACCGCATTGGGTATAGCGAGCCAACAAGCGGCTGGAACGATGAAATGTCATTATTTTGAATTTCGAGGCACAAATTATTGAGATCGGATTGCAAGCAATAATGAAATGAAATTTTCTTATACTGGACACGGAGTTTAACATCATCCCCATATATGAGTATATGAGTTGGAGATATAAGTGACTTGCAGAGATGTTGCAAGTGCGGAGTTAAAACCTTCTCAAACATTTTAGGAATAGCGGATAACTTTGCTATACCTCTATAATTTTTTGCATCAGACTTGCTACCATTTTTATGGAGAGGAATTATAAACTATTCCTTCCAGATCGGGGGGAAGCAAGAAGAATCAATGGACAGGGTGAATAGTTTAAGCAAAGGTCCACAGAGCCTCGGCACAGTACCTGAGTACACAACCTGGAACCCCGTCTGGACCCGGTGAAAACACCGGCTTAACTAGTCGAAGATCATGAAGTATCCCTACTTCATTTAACAAGTGACTGAAAATGACGTTCGACCTCGGTAAACCGTATGGGTGCGGATGACCAGAGTAGCTTTCCTCAGAATAGTTGGTTTGGAAAAATTGGACAAAAAGATCGGCAATTGTCTGATCATTATTTGCCAACGTATTAAGAAATGATAGCGAGGATGGGTGTGCGGACATTCTACGCATACTGTTTACGAAGCAGTAAAACTGTTTAGGGTCCTGAGAAAAAGGCATCCTGCATCGAGATAGATAGTTCTTATGACATTGAATATTAAGAACTAGAGAGAGTAGTAGGAGAACCAACTTATTGAAATTTTGTATAAAGCCTTGATTTTAAGTTTTTTAGACTAAATCTATTTGGTAAGGGGTTTCCCAGAGCTAATCGGATAAGAAAGCGGTATACAAGAATCAAAAAATGTGTCAAGTGCATTATACAAAATGTTTGTGCTTTTTATAACATCAGTGTACAAGCGTCTCGTCTGTAGAGTCGTCTCGTCTCTTTTATTTTTCGTCTTTCGCCGAAATATACCTGAATACCTTTTATTTATACTCGAGGCTACAAGTTTGTTACACGTCCTTCCGCACTGTGAGTTGGGGTCCTTTATCGCGCAGTGATCTATCTGTGGATCTGCTGCGTGACCGAATTCGGGTTAGTAGCTTTTCCTACTTTCATTCGGTTTTGCTGGCCGAACGTTTTATTTCCGTAGAGGGCGATATCTCCGTGCTCAATGTATTTTCGTTTTCACCACTGATTTATTATATGGATGGATATATTTGATTAGATATGGGTTTCCGAACGCATAAGGTATACAGATTCTTAATCAGCATCCATAGCCGAATTGATAGAGCCATGTGTGTTAGTCCATCTTGTTTGACAACTAGAGACTATATGAGCTAGAGCAATGAAATGTTGTATCACACTGAATCAAGGTTATTTTTTTTAAATTTAGCCATGCCATTTTCCGATGTGTTCCCTCGTGAAAAAGTTTATTACAACGATGGCTATCTTGTCTCCGGCAGTGGTGTCGATGAGAGCGGTGCTTCCCGTGAGTGCTCACTTACAAGGACGAAATTAAGAAACCTGATTTGGGCAGACAAAAATAATCCAAAGAGCTGAAGTAACGAGTAAGTAAATCGAATTTGAAAATCAGCCGCCAACGTGCCTTCAACTTTTGAATAGCGCACAGAACGGTTTAAGGCTCTCAGAGTTTTCTTTGCTTGGTACTTTGTCGCAGGTCACAGTTTGACGGCGATTTCCAAGGGCCGGGCAGTGGCAGAAGAAGTGGGGGGACCGATTCCTCCTCTTCCTAGTCGCGACAACTCCTGCAGAAGTCGTTATGAGGGATTGACAGTCTAGAGGCATGAGTGGCGATCTGCCAGTGTCCGTGATGGCTCGAGTTACTGCAGAGCATTGTGATATACTGAGTCTATATAGCTCCTCCAAGCGCTTTTTTGATCGATTAGGCCATATCGATCTCGAGACTTTACAGGAGATGGTTTGCTGCAATCTCCTGTTTGCATTTTGCTCGAACAATTCATGCATGAGAAGCCTGCACGTAGCCAAAGGCATCGCTACTTGCTCCCTCTCCGATAAGATAGGAATATTAATGCCCTGTCTGGATAGCTCGTCGGCGGCGTCGTTTCCCTCGATGTCCCTGTGGACGGGGACCCATATAAGGAAGAGATCTAACTGCTCTGCGATCTCATGCAGAGACCTTCGGCTGCCGTTTACAGTCGCTGAATTGGACGATATTGAGCCTATAGCTTTAATAGCCGCTTGGCTGACCGAGAAAACGCACACTAAATGCGTGTCTAGAAGAAGTTTGGAGACAATAGAAATGGTCTCCTGGAAGGCCACAACCTCCGCTTGGAACACACTACAGTGATCCGGGAGCCTGAAGCAATGACTGATGTTTAGCTCGCTACAGTAGACTCTGCCTCTTACGCGGCTGTCTAACTTTGAGCCATCAGTGTAGTAGTGGACCGAATTTTCAGGTCCTGGTTCGTCCATCTCCCAGTCCTCCCTAGGTGGGATTGATACCTGGAAAGGCGTCGATAGGTGATCACTGGGGATACAATAATCTGTCTAAGGCTTCTTTTTGTCTAAGGCTGGACACCATACCACCACTCCATAGAGCATGATCGGTCGTTTGATGGCGGTGTAAAGCCACCGGACTATATAGGGGGTCATTTCCCATTTTAGTCCGATGGCTTTCCTGCAAGTATAGAGGGCCACTGTGGCTTTCTTTACTCTGTCCTCTATGTTCAATTTCCAGTCGAGCTTTCTGTCGAAGATACTTGGCGTTGTTGCTGAAAACTAGCGCTTCCCCACATAGTCTAGGGGGAATCAGTACCGAAACGTTGTACTTCCTAGTGAAAAGCACCAGTTCCGTTTTAGACGGGTTGACGCCTAACCCGCATTTGTCTGCCCATTTCGACATTTTCGTGAGAGTACTTGTCATGCACTCACACAACGTCTGCGGAAATTTTCCGGAGAGTGCTATAGCAACATCGTCCGCATACGCCACCACGCGGCAATGGTGGCACTCCGCCCTGAGTGGTGCCTCTCATGACAAATCTGGTGGACCTTGACGTCCCCAGTGATGCCTCAACCGTCCTGCATTGTAGCTTCTGATCGATCAGGCTCACCGTCCGGGAGTCAACCCCCAGGTCCGTCAGGGTACCCGTGATGGCGGTCGGGAGGATGTTATTAAAGGCACCTTCTATGTCGAGGAAGGCTACTAGGGTGTACTCCTTACAGTTAAAGGACGCTTCTATGATCGATGTGATCGTGTGTAGGGCCGTTTCGGTGGATCTTCCCTTCCGATACCATCTGGCCCCGCAGACTTGTATAGTTTGAAGTTTTTGATTGCCCAGGAAATGTTCTCCTGGCTTAGCAGGTTCGTGATATCACTTGAGGCAACGGAAAGCGCCGCGAAGTATCATGGTCTGTTTTCATCGCAGCCGGGGAAGTGGGTGCTGAGGAGAAGATATAGCGACTCATTGCTAGACGTTGTACACGATTGGTCGGCATTCTTCAGGTAGCCCAGAGTGTGTGTAGTCTTTGAGAAAACTTTGCGCAAGCGCGAGGCTTCTGAGTTATTCTCTATTTAGCTACAGAACTTACGCCATGAGGTGCGTTTGGCTTTTCTAAGTTATTTATTATAAGTTGATAGACTGACCTTGTATTCGTCGCAGTTCCGCTCAACGTTCTCAGCCTTAGCTGTGTTAAAGAATCTCCGGGAGGCTTTCCGGAGTTCCCCCAGTTTAGGAGTCTACCATTCAGGTTTCTTCCGGCCTCTGCTCTTGCCAGAGGGCAGACTTTATCGAGCGCCTTATTGCAGACGTCGTTGAAGATCTTAAGAAGACGAGTCGTGGTCTCCCTTAAAAATGAGAAAGAGAATATAGTTTCCACGTATCTGTGGTCCGAGAAGAACACTCCTTCCAGGACCTCCAGGATACAATGTTACTCTGTATCTCATGAGAGGCAAGCGTGAGGTCCAGGAGCTCCTTGCGGTTTTTCATAATGAAGGTGAGGTCACTACCCCGGTTTAATAAGATCATCTGAGTGGTCAGTAAGTAACTGAAAAGGTACTCACCCCTTTCGTTTGTGTCAGTGCTTCCCCACTGACAGTGATGTGCGTTGGCGTCGCACCCCACAATTAGGCCGATGTCCTTGGCCGCTCAGTCTGCGGTTATAGCCCGGGGAGGCCCATGCTCTGGCTCTCGGACGTCTGGGGACATCCTCCCATCCCACAGCCTCCAGTTTCGCCCCTGGATAGACCTCTTTGAGGGCAGCCACAGCCTTTATGTAGGGGGCCGCACAGCGAGCGTCTTAGCAGGCGATGGCTTTCATCTTGCCTTGATGCAACCCTGCGTCCGGACACTTTGGCGGTGGTCCGCCGTTCTCCTCCAGTTCCTGTAGGAACCGGTCCTGGAGCTCGTTCTCCACCAGATGCCACTTTTTGTGCCCCTGTCCAGGACGCCGATTATGGTCTTGCCCCTCGCCACCTCAGCGAACGATCGGTTCGTGAGGTGGGTCTTCACCCGCTTCACGGACTGAGTCTCTTTCCCCGTCTTCCTTGGACCTGGTTTCCCAGGCGTTGATGTAGAGGGATGGTCTTGTCTCTCCGGTACTTTAAAAGGAGTACCGAGCTCCTTTGCGGTGTTTTTGGTTTTAATATTTTGAGTAGTTGACATTGTTGTTACCACGAGAAGGCGGGAGGTGGTTGGTCACCCGAGGCGTAGACCGCTTGCCCCGGGAAGCCTAATTTAAAGTGGAGGTCGGCAGGTATTCGCATATTAGCGACCGAGCCGACCAACTCGGCCATGAATCTTTCGGCATATAACAGTGTCACCTTGGATTGGGGTAATTTCACTGAGAGTTTTTTTTCTCTCCCGACTACCATTCGCCAGTATCCTGGCACAGATATGACCGTACCAGGACCTGTTTCCTGCCGGCCTCACGCGGAGAGTATAGTCGCACTTGCACCGGTGTGTACAATTACGGCGGGTGACGGTTCGCTCGCAACCCTCTGTATCCTAGGGGTGTGGAACGCAGGCCGCACCGGGTATTCCTATTCGGAGCGGCTGCGCATCATTCCGAGCTTACAGTTGTGCAAGCCGACCCTCCTTCCGTTTATCCCCCTGTAGTACCCGATGGCTGACGGCCTGACTCACACACTTCTATCCCTACTTACTACCTTCCCACATTCCAACCCTCACACTCACCTCACACTTTGCCGGACTCAGTGCGTTATTCGACGATTCAGCCTGGCTGGACAATCGGTAGAACAGAATAAAATAATTTAAGCAAACAAAACACAAACGAGTATGGCACTTCCAATTGCCAACAGGGAGCAATCCCAAACAGGTAAAGGCAGCGGTCCAAAAGGTTCAGTTCAGAAGGTTCAGTGGGCATCGAGGTTGCTCCTTAACTTCAGCACGGATTTGCCAAAGAAAGAAGCCAAAGAAGCAGAGCTGGCAGGAGATTGCTAGAGAAAGAAGGCGGATTGGCATCCCGAACAATGGCTCCAAGATTCCCCTAAACAAGGGGGAGTGGGTGGAAGCAGTGGCCGACAGCTGCTTCGACCTAGTGATTACACAGCATGGACCTACCAGTCTTCAAAAGACATGGGGTGGTATTAGGGCAGCATCAAGATAATAGTCTGCGAAAACGAACTATTTAAAGAAGCGGATGCGAAATGCCCGTCGCTGCAGACTGTAGCGAAGTGCTTTGCGGACCAACATTTGGCGAGAGTTTGGGTGCCTGGTTCCATGCGGGAGCCGGAAGGATCCATCCTTAGACTGGCAGATGGTCAAAGTTTAGACGAAATAGGGCCCAACAAACCAGACGGTAGTCGTCCTCAATAAGGAGTCATCGGACCCGATTGAGGCAGCGAAAGATGGGCTCAACTTCTGGTTAAGTTGGACGCAGCGGCCGAGGCGCTTTCATTCACCGTCGCCTCGGAGATTGAAGCAAACGACACAGAGCTGGAGACGGCACTAAACGGTTACTCCTCTGGCACGACGCTGACGCGTGAAGTCGAGGCGATGTTTCACGATCTGTTGATCTGTAGAAGCATCTTCAGAGCTCTCAACCACTGTAATATTGGCATCTGGGTCGTCTACGATATTATCGTGACACATCGCCTCGAGATGATTTTACAGATCAATCCACCACTGTAAAGCAGCATCCGCTCCAACACTCTGGTAGAGTTCTGCGTATAAGCGACGAAGGAGTATAAGCTAATTATAGCCTAAAACAAAGGTTATGTCCGTAAATTCTTGCAAGAAAGCACTTTAATATCTTTCTGCTGCATAACCACATGTCGCATATTATTGGCCATGCCCTACATTTATAATGAAAAAGGGACAGGAGGTTACGGCCCTCAAAATCCATTTGACTGATGTAAAACTCCGTCCACCATCCGTCAAAAACAGCTGATGCCAATAACAAGTACATTAAATTTGGGCGGAAGATTTATTAATTATTTTTTCATAATGGATGATGAATATAGGTCTAGGAAAAGATCTTGATAGCCACTATAATATTGTGATGCTGTATTTTACAACAAAATTAGAAGCTTGCAACAAATGAGTAGCGCGAACAGCCAGATAGTAGCAACAGTGGATAAGATCTACAATCGCAAAATATTCTGTAGACCGTATGAAAATGAATAACGTATTTATTTGTATTATTCTTCTAACAAGTCGTTCTGGAATTTCGTTTGGGTGCTGATTAAGTCCTGCACCATCTTCTCCCGACTCATGTCGTGCTCATTATACTTTCTGCGGTGGCGCTTCTGTTCTTCGAGTCGGTCTCTGGCAATCTCTGCCAGACACGAAATGTCATCCTTTTTGTTTTTCTTTGGCGTTCTTGGCGAATTCGCCCCACCCTAAGGTTAGCTAGAATAAGAGATTGAATTGTAAAGAAATATAGTCTGTCGTTGACCCGCAAAATATATAACAAATTACAGCCACACAAAGCTTTCGGTTTTTTTTTAAATTAGAAAAACTATTCTGTTTTTTTAAAATTGTATGTCATACATATATTTTTGTTGTTTATATATATTTTTTTGAGTCATAAAAAAAAACAAATACACGCCGGGTGAAGTGGAGTGTGGATATGGAAAATCTTCTTAAAAACATATGACCGGAATAAATCAGTTGATGTCGACCAGAACAGAACCAACTGCAGCTTCAGTATTTGTTTTACAGACCTGCTGTAATGTTAAGGTATTCTAAAGAGTAACGTTATATACAGCATATATGTATAATACAATCGCCAATTTATTCATTTCAACATGTGAATATCACAATTCAGACAAAAACTTTGGTATAGTTTTTTATAGGCTATTCACACTGACGACCATCCACCATCCATTTCGGGGATGGTCCGTAAGGTTTTGCCGTTCTGAAAATTTCCCAGTTAGTCCACCATCCATTTTGGATGTTCCTAAACCGCACGTTTCTATACGATAGTTAGCCCCCGCCAATGCGAACCAAAAACGTCGACACTTCTTGGATGGCAGAGATCGCCAGAGAGCGATTCGAAGAGCTGAAGGACCTTCACAGGAAGAACATGATATGAGACAGAATATGATAGCATCATCCACACGCAAACAAAATTCCAGAATGATTTATTGGAAGTGCTGAGAAATATAAATAAATAAGTTTATAATTTGCATTATGGTCTAAACAATATTTTGCGATTGCAAATCGTATCTGTTTTGCTGACTGATTAAAATCACCAGAACTGTGGCTGCTATCGGGCTGTTCGCATATTTTGCTGTTGAAACACGGCAAAAATTAATAAATCTTCCGCGCAAATTTAATGCACTTGTTGAATGGTGCCAGTGTGAATCGGAGTTTTAAATCTGTCAAAAAATCCCACCATTCCCCCGCAAAATATTGTGTAGTGCGTAATGCAAATTAGAAACTTATTTATTTTTATTTTTTCAACACTTCCAATAAATCATTCTGCAATATTCTTCGCGTGTTGATGAGGTCCTCGACCATCTCTTCCTTCCTCATATCATGTTCTTCATTCTTCCTGTAATGGTCTTTCTGCTGTTCGAGCTGCTCTCTGGCAATATCTGTCATCCAAGAAGTGTCGCCTTTTTTGGTTCGCTTTGTCGTGGGCCCATTGTTGCCAGAAAAGGTGCTGGGGCTACATGATCTGTCCAGATCTACCTCGATAATGTCCGAAAAAAACTCATCAACATCTGCAATGACCAGCTTTTATTGATTTATTGTTAAAAAAAAATATATTTCATTTAACTCACTGTGGTTGTCCAATGTGCTCTGCTCCATGTTGTCAATCCGGTAGCATCCCACGAGCGAGTTCAATTTTTCGTAGTGCTGCCAGCTATATGGAGCACCCCCGCTAGGTCCAATTTTATTCGTGCGCGATGCAAATCTTCTATTTTTTCCTGCCAAATGTCTATTAGCAGGTATGTGCGGTTTAGGAACATCCAAAATTCGTTGTATCAATTCTATTGTTTCAAGCCAATGCCAACTATCGAAATGGCATGGTATTGTTACGATAACGATAAGTGCCTAGCTTCTACCGAAATGTTGGCGCTATGATGAAATAATTTTCGCATTTTTAGCCGGTCGTTTATTTGAAATTGATTAACGTTTATTCAATATGGATGTGGAATTGCCGTACATGGCAGAATATGCCAAATCTGGTCGTGCTTCTTGTAAAGGTTGTAAGTCTGCTATTCCGATGAAAGAGCTACGAATTGCAGTTATGGTCCAAGTAAGTCTTTGCAAAAAAAAAACATTTGCATCACAGATTTAATATTATATATACCTAAATAGTCTGCTTTTCACGATGCCAAAGTGCCTAACTGGTTCCATAAGAGATGTTTTTTCGAGAAACAACGTCCAACATCTGTAGGGGACATACAGAATTTCGAAAACTTACGTTTTGATGATCAAAAGGAACTGGAGACGCTTATTGGTATGTGCTTTCTGAATATGTACTTTGTAATCCTAGAGTAACGTTCTATAGTGTCTAAAAGTCTAAATATATTTTATATATATGGAGAGATACCTCATGTGTATGTACATTATGTACATATGTACACTTCAGAGCCAAAGTTAAATTTAATACCTTTTTCTCGGTGGAAGATTTGTCCAGACTGTTCGCGATTTTCGATTAAATCTTCTTTAAAATGCAAAAAACCAACCTTTCGACTATCACGTTTATAAAATCACGTAATAAATTTGATTTGATACATTCTATTTTTTAAGGAGCTGTAGCAGGAAGCGTAATTGCTAATACCGGAAAGAAACGTTCTAAGGCAGAAACCACAGCGCTGAAAGACTTTGGTATCGAGTATGCAAAATCCAGCCGATCATCCTGCCGGGGCTGCGATCAAAAAATAAGCAAAGATCAAATTCGTATACGAAAAACTGTATTTGATACTGAAGTTGGTATGAAGTATGGTGGTCAACCACTGTGGCATCATTTAGAATGCTTTGCACAATTGAGATCCGAGCTTGGTTGGTTCGATACTGGCGAAAATATTCCAGGTTACAAAAGCTTAAAAGCCGAGGACAAAGCTGAAGTGATAAGAGTGCTTCCGTGAGTATTTTTTATGTATGTTACTACTCAATTTTCTCAGTCGATTTGAGATCTTCAAAAATAAATTGCTTTATTACACAGTTATCACAACATTTATTCGGAAAACCGTCTATTTCAACTTTCTTTATAAATAACTTGAAAAGTATTTTGGTTTAACAAAAAATGTGTACTTCGTTATGAAGATCAATGTAACTAATACAGATCTGAAACATAAAAACAAAAAAAAAACCTTTGGCTTATGAGAAAAACTTAAAAGTGTCAAAAATATCACTTTTTTAAGCACATCTTAAAAAATGTATGTATGTAGAAATATACATTAATGGCCAAAATAATAAGTACACGCTTATGAGGTTTCATTCACGTCTTATAAAACTATTCTAATAATCAAATGTACTTTTAGTTTTCTAACCTACATTAGACTAAAAATATTTATCATAAGCATTTTTATTTCAAATATATATCTTATGATAGATTAAACCTTGAAAACATAAACAAGGGTTGGCCAATATAATAAGTACAGCAATTCTACAAAGCGAAAAACTAAAAGCGTATCAACATTTTTCCACATTTTTCATATTATGTATAATCTTATACTACTATCCTGTATAGCCACACTTATTTTGGATGACTTTGGCGATTATTCTTGGCATACTAGCAAAAAGTTTGCGACAAGTCTCCACTGGAATCTCATACCACATTTGTTGTACAAATTCTCCACAATTCTTTGGCTTTTCGAAAAGTATTTTTACCAATTCGACGTTTTAAATCACCCCATAGGTTTTCAATTGAGTTTAAGTCAGGAGGCTGACTTGGCCAAGTTATAACGTTTAAATTTGTTTCCGTAAAACAAGCCTTGACCAGCTTTGAGGTGTGCTTTGAGTAATTTTCCTCAAGGGCATGTTTTCCTCAGCATAAAGTTGCATAATGTCTGTCAATATGTTTTTATATGCGATGTACCGGCTCAACGCCATCCCAAGAATAACAGCCTCAAATACCTATGCATCAACCTCCGTTCTTAACCATTTTCTTTGTATACCGGAAGTCGAATACTTTTTCTTTTCGTCGTTATATACATCTTCTGAAGTCATAATCAAAAAGATTTATTTTTGTTTTGTCTCTCAATAATATATTATTCCACTTTTAAGACCCATCGAACCCAAACCATGCCAAATGATTTTCGACGACTTCTTGCCGCATCTTCAAATTTTTTACTCGGAGTAAGGGAACTTTTCGGACTATACGTCGTGTTAAGTCTGTATATTGAAGTCTTCGACGAACCATCAGACCTGATTTTTCTTTGCCAATTTGAGCGTGCCTTGGAAGACATGAACTGATCCTTATTTGCAAGACTGATGATGCGGGTGTCCGTTGTTTGTAAAGATTTCTTATTCCATCCTCGATTTTCAATAAGCACCTTATATTTTAAAGCATTCTGAACAAAAAATACCAAGCGTCCAAAACTTTTCGCAATTTCACGAAGAATTTTCCGTTCTTTTTGAAGATTTATGAAAGACTTCTTATCTTCAGCAGTACGGCCTATCTAAAGGATTTTCTTAACTTTCATATACTTAAATATGAAAGAACTCAATAAAAACTAACAAGCCTTTGACCAAATCCTTATCAAATCATTTATGATTTATTTTTGCCAGACCAAAAATGCAAAGATGGGTCCCCACTTTAATATTTGGCAAGACTGTAATCTTTCCAAATATAAACAATTGGCATCCGTACATTTACAAAAATTCTAGCTATTCCATAACAATTCCATATTCCGAGTACGTGTGGATACATGTTTATCACTTTAAGCGCCTGTAAAATCTTTAAAAATCAATCAATCCTTGTGATATTTTTTTTTAAAGATTCATTAATTTATTGAGAATGAAAAAAGACAACAATTTCAATTCAAAGAGATCCTTTTCCTTAAGAGATTTTAGTTTGTTCAAAAAATAAGCATGTATCCACTTTTGAACGTTTAAAATTTTTTTACTTCAATAATTTTTTAAAAATATTTGTTCCAAAGGGCCTTAGTTTTTATCATATTCCGAATAAGTATTGGCATACTCTCGACTAAATTTAGTAGGTGCTCAAAGACTCACCCAATCCCTTTGGTGCAGACTCGTACTTTTCCAATGTTTTTTAAACAGAGCCCATCGATTTTCAATGGGATTTAGATCTGGACTATTCAGCAGGCCACTGGATTAAGTGAAAACTCGAATTATTGGGACGATTTCTCGAAATTAACGGTTTTCGTCGGGCTACCCTCTGGCTGGAAAGTGATCTCGGATATGGGGAAGTCACATTTCTCTATAAAATTTGACAAAATGGGTTCCTAAATACTAAGATAATATTCTTTCTTTATTATTCCATCGATTTTAACCAATTGCTCATTTTTTGAACAAATTAAAATCTCTTAAGAAAAAGGATCTCTTTGAATTGAAATTGTTGTCTTTTTTCATTCTCAATAAATTAATGAATATTTAAAAAAAAAATCACAAGGATTGATTGATTTTTAAAGATTTTATAGGCGCTTAAAGTGAAAAGTGACAAACATGTATCCACATGTGCTCGCCACTGTATGTACGATGTGTATTAATAATTAAAAGCTAATACAAGGGCTGCTTTTATATATCGGGAATAGCAAATAAGAACCATCACTTTTAAATGAAAACGGCTTTTTTGTTTTTGGAAATATTTGTGATTCGTGTTCGGCAGTTGGCAGTATAATTTCTAATTTCTCCGAAGACCTCTGGCAAAAAAATGTTCGTGTACCACTCAGAATTGACAGCCCTACGTTGCTTTAGCGCAACAATGTCCACATAACCCATTTTCCTAAAGAAACAGTCGACACGGTCAAATGGTTAAAAAACAACTCCAATTGACGCGAGCCTTTTTTTGAGCGATTTATAAGTTATGGGGAGAACAAACCGTTTTTACAACTAATTGTTCATGCAAAATGGAATGTATTGAAGTGGAACTAATCTGCAAGGATCCATCAGATCACGCTCACCATCGACAGATGCAAGACAGCGATAAACTGTCGTTTTTGATGGTGCTTTCTCGACGTACAAAGAGCTAAGTTAATTAACACATTCTTGTTGGCATGATAAACGTCGAAAGTTGAGAAATTTCCATTGTTTTGACAAATTAATTTTTTTAACTGATTTTAAACAAAAAACTAATTTTACATAAAAACGTTGTACCTACATATATGCTAAAAAGTGACAAAGTTTATTGCGGCGTTGTCAGATTTTACGTATTGACATTAGTATTGCCAATTCCCGAAATATAAATAGCAGCCCTCTTATACATATGTATGTCAACCCTTTTTCAAATACTTTTCTGTCGATATTATTTTCTAAATTGAATAAAACTTAACTAATTTAACCAATTGAAATTTAATTTCATCAAATTTGATCTTAAAACCGATTAAGATAAGCAAAATTTCACTTTTTCATGTTTTACTTTACTATTTTCTCCTATAGGAAAAATAATTTTCATAAAAGTTATTTGTTTGTTAAGAAAATATGAAGTGATTTAAGTGAAAATGTAAAAAAAAAATATTGAAAAATCATACGTTTATGACCGGTACCTAATTCAATTAAAAAAAAAACCAATAGAGATTTTTTTTTTGTTTAACTCGATATAAACCTACATTTATCCTCTTTTAAAATAATTTAACAGCTTTAGAATATTCCGTTTCGCAGATATATTGCATTTTGCTAGGTTAAGCCAAAGTCGACTTCTATTTC